CAGGACCGCGTCGGCAGAGCTGCCCTCGGGGCTGCAGCCTCAGGCTGTCCCTGCCCTGTTCCAGGGGCAGGACTTCGCATTTGCCTTTGAGCTCCACGTTCTTGACAGCCTCTTAGGGCACCTCTGGATGGCTCTGCCCTGCAACTTGTGCTGTCACCTCCAGCCTGGTGTCACTGCAGCCTTGCTGAGCATGTGCAGTGTTTCCTTCTCCAGTGCCCTGGTCACTGTCTGGTGCCTGGAGTTGTGCATATCCAGTTGGTTCCAGTGATCCCTCCCGTCATCTTCCCTGTCTGCTGCGTTCCCACAGGCTCTGCCTCGGCGCACAGGGGCTTGGGAGGCCCAAGGATCAGGGCAAACAAGCACTGGTCCCCTCAGCCCGTTGTGTCTGGTGTCGCTGGGTCTCTTGCCTCATGTAGCACCAGGCCTTTCCCCACAGGTCAGGGTGATGGGTGTCCCCGTGGGGACCAGGGCCTGCAGCTGTGAGTCTTCCTCTGCTGGTGCAAGAGGAGATGTCCCAGGTTGTTACCTGCTCCAAAGCAAGGCTCCGTGTGTTCAGGATACTTTGCACAGATCACAGTCCCTTCCTTATTGCTGCTGTCTCCCACAGAGCCAGTGCCGTCCACTGCGGCTCTCCACTCACCTGAGCTTCTGTGCCTCTGTGGTCCTGGTGGGATTAGACCTTTGCCATCATGCACAGGCTCTGGAGTCTTCTGTTCCCTGTGCATTTGTGTGGACTCTCAATATGGGGAAGTGTAGGAATCTCCCCATCCTGCTGTTGCTCTGATATCTCCACTGTCCCTTGAGTCTTTCCAGACCTACCAGCCTGGACCATCCAGTCTGCCCAGCCCCTGCTTCACCCCCCAGAGCTTCCACGAGTCCCCTTGGGGTCCCTGCTGCCCTCCCCTGACCTGTGCCCTCCTCGCAGGCACCCCTTCTCAGGCCGTGATGTGCCCATCTCAAACGGCTCGGGGTTCCTGGTGTCCCCGGACGGGCTGATTGTCACCAACGCCCACGTGGTGGCCAATCGCCGGCGCGTGCGGGTGCGCCTGGCCAGCGGCGAGCAGTACGACGCCGTGGTGCAGGACGTGGACCAGGTGGCGGATATTGCCACCATCAGGATCAAGCCTAAGGTGGGCCCTGCAGCCGGGGGGGGGTCCCTGCCTCCCCCCCACCCCCGCCTGCTCACCGCCCTCCCATCTCTCAGCACCCCCT